TTAAAGTGGTACTAATGTTAACGTGACAGCAAATGTCATTGTTTGCTTTCGGTAGGTCATGCTTTTAATTAAATAAATGAATAAAATTTAAAAAAATTAGAGAAGTTAGTAGTTACATATAAGTTAATTTTATACCTACTCGGAATTTGCATGGGATAATTAGAAAATAATTATTAAATTTCGTTTACATACATATATGTATGCACATATAAACAAAATTTTTTGTGACATCGCGTCAGCTGTCAATGCTACCTAGTTTAAAAAAAAATTTTTCTAGCCTCTACATACACGACTACCAGAAAGGCATATTTCAGGTGACGTGACGAAATAATTTTTTTTTTATCACGTTAGTGACGCGACTACGTCACTTACGTATATACACATATGTGATTATATCTCCATATATGTATGTATATCTAAAATAAGGGCCATTAACACCATAAAAATTATTTAGAATAGAATAACAAAAATTTTCAAACATTAAACGTTTTAATGATTCGTTTTATTTTTTTTTTTGGTGTAATTGCTCGCCGGACATTGCTCTTCAAAATCTTCAAGTGCATAGCACACTTCATTCATTAAGTTCATGTACTTATTAAAAAAATTTATTGTATAATACTATTTTTGTTTTTCCACTTAAATCTTAATTATATCTAAGCGAATTAGTTTGAATAAGAAATTTATGATTAGATTCGAAATAAAATATAATTATAAAATATTATAGATTAAAAAAATAACTGTAAGTACAATTATTTACTTGTGTGTTTATAAAATATTTTTAGTATTGTTTATTTTGGTTTTTTGGATTCATCCGGTATTTTCTTAGAATGTAAATTTATATGTGCATATATGTATGTTTTATATGTATGTACGATTTTTATTGATTATATTGTGTAATAGTAATATACATAGGTATATATACTTATTCATATCATATTACAGTTCTAGTTAATCAAGTGTGCGATTGAATTCACTGAAATTAAAAGTGGAATTTTTAAAAATTTTATTATTGCATAAATGAATTCAAAGAATAATTTTCAGTTTATGTACTCGTAGTATGTTGAAATGAAATTTTTTACTGAAGAAGTTGGTTTTATTTTTTTTTAAATTATCTACTTTATAAAATTATTTATTCAACTTTTGATTTATAGTAAAGATAACCTATGTAGGTTGTTTCAAAGTGTACTCTACCATTTCTAGGATATTTGTCATTCCATAAACCCTCAACATAGTAAGAATTACTAAAACTTTAATATCAATTTCGATTTTTTTTCTTCATGTTTTTAAATGTTTCCAATGAAAATTTTATAATATTGATGACCGTAAAAATATTATTTTCCTTCCTTTTCAGAATAAGGGTTTGACGCATTTATTCGCTACAGACATTTAATATATTGTTGCAAATATAATAAGGATTTGAGATGTACATGATGACTTAATAATTTACATTTTCTTTTCAACAACTTTTGGAATTTTAATATGAACCATAACCCTTTTCAATTTTCCCAATATACGAAATACTGCCTGTATAATTTTTTTCAAATTTTTCTTCAAATTATATTCACTTATTTGCAACTTTAAAATTTTATTTATGCAATGAACCTTAATGATCTTAATAATTTTGCGAAAAAAAAAATTATTTACAATACAAAACTATTTGTTTCCTTTGTCTTTTTTTGAATAATAAATGATATTTATTCAATATAATGTAAAGCGCTATATGAATACATACATACGTTATATATGTACATACGATTCTTATTATTATGTAGATATTGTCGACATTTTATTCAATAGAGAAAAAAAAACTTTTTTTGTAATAATAACCATTCAACAAAATTTTTTTTTTAAATGTACACACATTACATACTCACTCAATGTTATAGAAACAATATTGTAATATGAACACAAATGTAAATTGTTTGCTCTTGTTACATTATTACTTAATATCAATATCTTTTCAAAGATCTACGTACATATATGTATGTGTGACTGTATGATAAAATTTTTGTCATTAATACTGAATCTATGAACAATGGGAATACAATTGTGCAAGTTTTGCCTAGTTTTAATGGTTAATCGCTCTAATTGCTATTAGGTATTGTGGTAAAGTAAATAGAAAATTCCGTATAGATTTTCTAAATTCAAGATTTTTAAGCTCGAGATATTGAATAAATTTCAAATTTATGATTTTATGATTTAAAACTAAATTCATTGTCAATCCAAGTATGTTCAAGTTCCATTGTTATTGAATAATTCATTTTCAGCTAAATATGGTCTATGTAATGTACCTAATTGATTTTAATATTTTATTTAAAATTTAGTGATATTTAATTCTTATGAAATCACGATCGAGTGTCGTCTATATTTGAATTATAAGAGAACGTAAGTTATGAGCAAAAAATTGAATCAAATGAAACGTATTCGATTTTTAGAAAATAATGATTGTTATAAAATTTCAATTTCATTAATATTTCTTACACTAACTTGATTAATACTAAACCTTTGAAAGCATAAAGCACCTACATAACCTAATCTGTTAGTTCCATTTGAGATTACATGCTGTGCAATCGATCCTGATGAGTTTAGCAAGTTTTTTCTTATTTGTGTATTTACTGGTTTCTCTGTTGGTTAGTGCCCACGGGTAATTGTTGCCAATTGTTCAAGAATGCTTTTCAAATTTGCGTGTCAGGTTTCACTGCCATATAGTATAGTACTGACTTAATACAAGTGGTGAATATTCTAATTTTTGTGTTTCTGGCCAGATGAGGTGACTTTTTGCAAACGTTGTTAAAGGCAATCTAATTATGTTAATTATATTCAATTTAACTCCTCCATCGGTTAGTTGAAACACCTGAGATACTTAAACCTTGTGTCATTCTTGATATATTTATTTTAACTGACTTTTTTTTCAGTATGCTAACTTGTAACCCAGCTGCTTTCGGTTTTTCTTTCAAGACTGAAATTAATTTTTACCTACATGTCACTATGTGATTCAACCAGCAGGGTAACATCGTCTGCTTAAATAATAAACTAAGTACATATAATTATATTTTTAGAAAATTTTAGAAATTAAATACTACAATATGTACTTATCCTTTCATTTTTCAAATACTTATTTTAAAATGTAAAGAGACGTATGTAAATAGGAAATAAAATAAGTATTACATTTATTTGTTTCTGAAAACTGATATTGCATACAATAAACAAATAAATAATATAAGCTTTATAATGCAAGTACTTAATTAGTTATTGTTATCAAACTGTTATTAAGAAATAAGTAAATGAATTAACAAACTTTCACATGATAATCTATACTTCAAAAATTTTATTTATGAAGATAATAATAAAGTGATTATACCAAAGATACTACATAACTAGATTATAAATTTTATTCGAAATTTCGAAATCGTAACCATAGTATAATCTATATTATATTTCATAGTTAGTTATAAGTAGTTTTTATATATGTAAGTACTTACATAAATATTTTGAAATATAAAGTTAACTTGTCATTGAGTTGATACATGGACATAACGCCAAAAAATATTCTCACTCAAAAACTTATAACGTTATTGTTCTGTTTCTTCTCTCACCCGGTGAGTAAAAATGGGAATATACGCATTTATTGTAGTAAATTGCAATTTTAGAAGTAAAATATTCTTATAAATATTTATTTACATTTACTAACATGAAAATGTCAAATTACAAATTAAAATTAAAATTTAATTAGCAAGTATACCTCATTAAACACACGTGAGAAAAAAAAAATTGCTAGTACTTTTGTGTGTATGGTAAAATTAATTATATCTCAATTAATAATTTTTAAAATTGTTTAACGAAAAAAATATTTTATTTATTTTTGTTAATCAATTGCTTAAAAAATAAAAGTTTTTGAAATATATTTGATGAGAAAAAATTTCTCTTAAAAAGTATTTGGAAAGCTTCACTTTTATCTGGCAAAAAAGGCAAAGAGGGGCAAAAATAATTAAAATAATTAAAATTTTAAATTAATTTATATAAAAATAAATATTTTAGAAGTTTAAAAATATTTAATTTTTAAATTTAAACCAAATTACAAAGGTGTGTACCTACTAGAACAAAAATTTAATTAGAGAGACTCTACTGTATATCACCTACTGTAGCGAAATATAGCAAATAGAGAGTAAAATGACAAACATAATTTGCACGAACGTTGTTATCGAAACTGTCTTGCTAATATTGTAACATTTTCAAGTAAAATATAAAAATTAACTTTTTTTTAAATTTAATTTGAGCATCGGATTCAAAAACTAAGATATAAAACTGTTTTATTATTTTAATTATAAAACTAATTTAAATTACTCTCATGTCGTTTTGTATAATTAAGAAGATATATGAAGTATGGGTGAGCGCAATTATACAAAGACCTTCATTAAGTTGATTGTTATGCATAAAATTACTTAAAATTTAATAAAAATAACTTTTTTTTTGTATATTTCTACATTATGACACTTGTAATTGACATTATGTTTTAGGCGATTTATAATTATAATCTCTTTACTGCCATAATACACAGCCAAATACTAAGAAGAGTTAAAATAAATTGTTTACCTTTGGAATATTTAATACTTTGTTCTTCAATAATATTTAAATGTGATAAAATTTTTTTTAGGTGACATTAACATAGTAAAAAAAATTTTGTTTTTGCGCTTTTTCAGATTGAAAAATTTATATAATGTAGGCTAGTTCTCATTTTTGTACTTCACATGAACGTACTGCTATGATGCCTATAAATTGCAAACAATGTTAGTAATGTCTTTATTTGAAACATTTAATTTTTATAAGTAAGTGTCAGAATCTTGGTCATACCCATAATTTTTTTTGTTCTACTTATTCGGTTGAATTTTTACAATCTCGTCAATATTCAATATTTCTGCAAATCAGAACAAACTTGTTAAAATTTAAATTGAAATCATAAAAATTTGTTAATTCTTAAATACATAATTTCTATTTTATAGGTATAGCTGGGATGTGTTCTAAAACAGCTGTTGCCCCGCTTGATCGTATAAAAATTTTATTACAAGCTCATTCAAATCATTATAAACATTTGGGTGTAGTCAGAGGTTTACGCCATATTGTACATAAAGAATCGTTTTTAGCTTTATATAAAGGAAATGGAGCCCAAATGGTTAGAATATTTCCATATGCTGCAACACAATTTACTGCATTTGAAATATACAAAGCCGTAAGTTAATATTTTTAATATTTTTATTTTAAATGTAATTTTAAAAGTAAAATTTTTTATATATATATTTTTACAGAATTTGGTTGTTTTACTTCCACATACAAAATTAATACAACATGCAGATAAATTTATAGCTGGAGCTGCAGCTGGTATTACCGCTGTTGCATTAACATATCCATTAGATACAATTAGGGCGAGACTAGCTTTTCAAGTTAAAGGAGAACATAGATATACAGGAATTGCTCATACAGCTTTAGAAATCTTAAAACATGTAAGGATACACCCGTGTATAATTAAAGACTAAATCTTTCTTTAAATTTATTCTAATTATGATTTCTTTTTTTTTAATTAATTTTAAGGAAGGTGGAATTCGTGCTTTATATCGTGGGTTTGTACCAACTTTAATAGGTATGGCACCATATGCTGGTTTCTCATTTTATTCATTTGAAATGTTAAAATATTTTTTAATGAAATATGCTTCACATGTAACATGTAAGAAATGCGAACGAAATACTGGAGGTTTAGTTTTAAAAGTACCAGCAAAATTATTTTGTGGTGCAGTTGCTGGTGCTATTGCACAAAGTTTCTCATATCCATTAGATGTAACTAGAAGAAGAATGCAATTGGCAATGATGACACCAGAGACGTCAAAGTTTGGGTATGATTTTTATTCTAAAAAAAATTTAATGTTGTAAAATTATTATAGAAATAATTGGTGTATAAGTAAAGAATTTTTTATTATTATTGTATTAATAATAATTTTAATATATAACTATTTCTTTAACTTTTTCTTTTGTATATATATTTATATATATTATATATAAATAACTGTTTCTAATGGTTGCATTGGGTCTTTAAAAATAAAATATTTTCTTATGAATTTTAAGACAGTAAGTATTACATTTGATTTCAATTATTTTATAAATTCTCATTCGTTATGTGTAGCTTTTGTATTCATTTATTTTGACTAAATCACATATTATAAACGTTGCTTTATTTATTGTATAACTTTATTATGAAAGCTGTAATATTTTTAATGTAAAAATTTAATGCATGATACCAGCAGTTTTTATAATTAATAATTTTTATACAGCGTTTTCATTTATTGAAAAATTTTAAACACAATATTTAATTATTAAAATATAAATTAATAAGAGTTTTGTTCAAAAATATACGATTTATCACTATTTAATTTTAAATTCATCCCACTAATTATTTTTTTATTAATTATAATCCATTAAATTTTTAAATATATTTTTAGTTTGGGTATGGTTACAACTCTACGACTGATTTACAATGAAAATGGTATTATAAAGGGACTTTATCGTGGAATGTCAATTAATTATTTACGTGCAATGCCAATGGTAGCAGTATCATTTTCAACGTACGAACTACTTAAACAGTATCTTCAAATGGATACTGGTATAAGTTTAAAATAAACATTTTTTAAAAACTTATAAGTTGTTAGGAGATAAATAAAGAAAAAAATCAATTAGTTAAATAGTTTTTTAGATTTTAAAATAAAAAACAAACCTTCGATTTGTGGTTCACAATAATTATTCGAACACCGATTATGTAAAAATTAGAATGTTTTTTTTATTGTAATATCTATATAAAATTCTATTAAAAATTAGATAATTAAAATTACTGTAAAAAATTTAAAAATAATTAATGATTTTAATAATTTTTGATTATAAAATAAATAGCGAATTTTAATATAGTTATTATATAACGCAGTAGATTCTGATGTTATTTATGAATATAATATTAATAAAAGAAAGGTGTGTAATGATAACTAAATTACCTGAACGTACAATAAATTTAATAACGATTTTATTTTATAAAATTAAGAAAAGTAATAAAACTTGAATGTAATAAGACATCGAAATTGTATTATTACTATAAAGATATATTGTGTTTATCATCAATAAAAAAATATGTTATAATAAATATTATGTGTAGAGGAGAAACTATTCTTATTCTCCCTTATTCTAGCAAGAGCTGTACGCGACTAGAGCAGTTGTACCTAGTCTAGCTCTACTGTAGCTGACCTCTAAGTAGTAGTAGATAATTTAATATTTATTAAATTATCTACTTTACAATATTATGTTATAAGTCAATAGTTTGTAAAATAGAATTGTTTTTATTATGTAGTATAAGATTTGAATTTATTTATTTAAATGAAATTTTCCATAATCTAACTAAATTATTAATTTTAATGATCATTTTCTGGTGCTGGTTAGATAAAATTTATAAGAAATTTAAAAATTAAACATATTAAAATGATTGACATGTTAAATAATGAAATCTCTATTTTAAATCCAATTATGTATTTATAAAAAGTAATCAAATATATATATACAAATTATTTTTTGATAAAATATTTTATAGCTTATTTATTTTAGCAGTACCTTAAATAATACACCCATTATTAAATAATTTAAGCCTGTCTAAATCCGAAGATTTTTTGCCGCACAAGTCCACATTGCTGTTATATTTTTAGATTTTTTTGTTCAAAAAATTTTGAAATTGAAAAAAATGAAAAAAGAAACCGAAGTGATTGTCAACAAAAATAATAATATTTTTATAATATGCCCAATATCATAGACTTATTAAGTTGATAGATAGAGCAGTGACAGAATTAGATTCTACCTTTTGCGTTCTCTTTAATTAAATTTCCTATCTATCGAAACTTAAACTCTTTGAAACTCAAGCGAATTTGGCAACTCATTGTTTAGTAAATTAGTTGTAATTTTGAAGTGAAACCACTAGAATAAATTCTTTAAAAAAATACATTGCGTAAGTACCTCTCTCTCTTATTATAAAAATCCAAAATTTTTGAGCATAAAAAAATTCTTTTTGCCGATAAAGTATTCTAGGAGAATCTAAAGTAGACGCTTACTTGTTTTTCAATTTCGGGCGAAAAATATTTTTTTTATAATGCCAGTCTATGTTAGATATGTCAACTGTTGATATGTTGAATAATTGATAACAGTCGCCATTTTAAATCAATCTGACGTCATGAGGAAGATATTTTTATAAGGAGTAATAAGTTCTTTTTTTCCATTATAAATTTATCTAATATGTATGTATGTTGAGTTTTCCGTTCAAATTTTTTCAAAATATTATTTTTGTTATACAAATCAGTATAATGTTAAATCAGTAATACTTAATATTTTATAATGTTTCTAGAAAAAAGTTTAAAAAGATCGGTTGTGAAACGACTTTAAAAATTTTTCATAACACTATATACCCGTGCATATTAACCTTTGTAAATTTGTTTAGGTAGCTATTGAACGTTACGTTCCTTTTTTGTGCTAGAATTTGCTTTTCTTTTGTTTTAATAATTTTATCCGTTAAAAGTCTAATTTAAAGTTTCTTATTTTAATTTAGAAGAAATAGTAAATAACGGTTTAATTATATGACAATTCAATTTCGAAAATGTTTCGAAGTTAAATGTCAAACTTCAAAAATTGACGCCATCCAATAGTGTTCTCCTTTGATTTTTATTGGCTTGTTTTGAACTATTGCTATTGGCTATCAAAATTTATAACAAATTTAAAAAAAAGCGATATACAATATAAACAAAAAGTTACCGTTAATAATAAAGAATTCTAACTTTAATACAAGATACTAAAATTAATTGTGAGTTCAGTTTCCAAGATTTGTAAAAAGCATCCCTTGCTATGCAATCTGAAAACTACATGAGTTTTTGCTGTGTATTATTTCTTTAGCACGGTCATATTTTTAATACAAAAATAATGGGCCAGAAGATCATCAGAAGAATGAAATAATCATTGTTAAATAGTTGTTGGATAGTTTCTAACAAATTTATTTATAATTTTATTAAGAGTAGTAATTAAGTAGGTATAAAAAAATCAAGAACGACGGCGACAACAACAACAATACATATTATGATGAACAATAGGTAAGCTGTCAAATATTTTAAGTACACAACGAACGTGTGAAAAAAACATGTATGTATTAATATTTCAAGGGAACCAGAAACTATTACTATATCTTTGGATGAACATGATGTTAAGTCTTTAATTAATTCTGTTGTCCATCAACAACATCTTTTAACTCAACAAGCTCAAACTCAAGCGCAACAACAAAATACACAACAAAGACAAATGCAACAACCAACTCAACATCAGCACCATCTTACAGTACAACAACCACAGCTTATTAGGCAACAGCCACAGCAACAGCAACCTACAATATCAATCATACCACATCAGGTCCCAATATCTGTTAGTTCTACAGTAGTTCCATCAACATCTGCTTTAACAACTGGTGCAACAACGATTCCAGTTGTTCAGTCGGGAGGTAGTGGAGGTAGGAAACGAAAACCAAAGTTAAACCAAAAACTTGGACAATTGTCACTAGATGAATATTGGCCGACCGTTCTGGAAGAAGTGAAGGAATTAAAGCAAGTTGACGCAAAAAATCAAAATTTACCATTAGCCCGAATAAAGAAAATAATGAAATTAGATGAAAATGCAAAGATGATTGCCGCGGAAGCTCCTTTGTTGTTTGCCAAAGCATGTGAATATTTCATTCAAGAATTAACGTAGGTTCTTACAAAGAATATGCATATATAGATCAAAATGATTTAATACACTTTTTATTTTAGTTTAAGAGCATGGCATCATACTGAAGAAAATAAAAGACGAACGCTACAACGAAGTGATATTGTAACTGCTATTTCACGTTGTGATCAGTTTGATTTTTTGATTGATATAGTGCCACGTGAAGAAATTAAATCAGCAACGTGTGAAACAACACCTGAATACACAAGTTCAGTAATTAAAGCTGAAGCAAATTTAGCTGATATGAAAAAGGCATCTACGGTAGTGGCTACAGCAGGAGCGACAACCTCAATATCTGATCCAATTCAGTATTTGCTGCAATTAGGTAGTACGACAAATAGCTCTGTCCAACCTGTTGCTCAAATAATACATTCAAGTGGGACAGCGAATTCAAATATTCAAGCGGTTCCACTAAATCAGCAACTGATTACTAGTGGACCACCTGCTTTAACGCCAATTAGTGTTATGCCACAAAATATTATAATTAATCCTCAAGCTCAAGCGAATTTGGTTAATACGATACAACAGCAAGCTGCAGCTGTGAATGCTGTTCAAGCAGGATCTCAGCAAACTCAACAAACGACGCAACCACATCCGGTACAACTGTATCAACAGATAATTGGGCCTAATGGAGAAATTCAAACGGTTCCGGTAAGTTTAATTCTTCATAAAATATGACAGGAAAATATTTTAGAAATTATATTTGCTAATACGAGTATAAAGAATTAGAGAATTTTTAATAATTTTGAACATTTTTTCAAGATTTCACTACCTCAAAACCAGCTTAGTTTTATAAGAATTCAGGGCGCTAATACCGGGAATTCCAACCAACAAACTCAACCTCAATTTATCATACAACAACCAACCGGAACAATACAAGTTGCTGCTTCAAGTGCATCGACAGCTGCTCAACCCTCTACAAGTCAAGGTATTTTTGTTAACCAGAGCACGTTACAACCGGTATTAAATAAAGGAAATGTTAACGTTACAAATTTTAGGACGAATTAAGGGGTAGATAATTAAGATATTTGTTTTAAAACAACACAAAATATACATATAATTGTAATGGTTTTGTTTAAACTTAAGTTGTAAGTTATTAATTTGAAATAGAATAGAAAAAGATAAAGTCATATCTTAATTTTTTAGTGATATTTTTTAAAATTTTTTTAGAAAAGATAATTTCTATTTTTATATAGAATTATTATTATTGAGAAAGAAATTGTCCTTTAATTTTTGAAAGCTTTGATTTATAAAAAGCTACAAAGAAAAAGTAATTTAAATACAGCATAGAAAGAATTGTAAATAATTAAGATAATAAACAATTCTATATACATATATGTCTATGTATATATTAAAATTTTTATGCTAATATTAATATTAATGTTTTAATCCGTTTTTAGTTGTATCTTCTATAATATTGTATTTAATTCAACACAAATTTTTATGGTTTTTTATTTATTTTTCTTTAATTTTTTCATCTTTTTCATTGCTTTTTTATGGTTATATCTTTGATTTTTTTCAATTATTTCATGATATTTCCTTTTGGTGTACTTATTGACATCAGAATCGGCTAAAATTTCATCAACTATTGTTCTCTTTTTATTTTTCCTAATATTTCTTTCATTGTAGAATTCTAAATGCGAATGTTGAACAGTACCAATCTAATTTTGAAATAAATTATAAATCAATTGCATTTTATTTTAAAATATAGTAGGAATGCGAAATTTAAAACTTACTTGAAAGTATTTTGGTAGAACCTTTAAATCATTTTTTTTATAAAAATGTTTTGGATTTAATATTGAACGCATTTGAAGAATTTTCAAATCATTTTCAATTTCATCTGTAATTTCAGTTGCTGGCATATTAAACCAATCAGATCCCTTGGTTTTTTCTCTTTCAGCTTTTTTCAGTTTCTTTAATCTTCGTTTGCCGGGTAGTTCAAAACTTTCCCTTGAAACTTCTGGATTTTTTGAAAGTGCATCTGTGATTTGTTTCTGACGATCCGCGGATGTTATTTCATCGAGATTTGGTTGATTTTCAACGTTTTCAGATTTATTTTTTGTTGAAAAGTAATTAGAAAACCTTTCGAAATTTCTCTTTGAATCCTTTTTTTTGAATGGGTTGGACTCAGAATTTAAATGTTTATTAATTATATGACTTATATCTTCACTTGGTGGAGGTAGTCCTGAAATAATTCTCTAGTTTGGTTTGTTGCTTAACTTACTATAAATAATTTAACTTACCACCATACCCTTTTTCACTGGCCTCATCAGATTCACTATTGTCAGATTCTTCATCATCGTTATCATTGTCGTTCTTTATAGCTTTATCAATCTCATAATTAGATTTGCTCACGAAATCTAAAACGTGGTTGTTTTCGATCTCATCTTCTTTTTGTAGGAGTTCATTGTCACCAAAAGTATCTACTACAAACAAACTCATGCTTTTAGTGATTCTTAATAATTAATGAACAATTGAAATGTAATCTAATTTAAAAATTCTAAGTTATTCGTTTTCAATATTGACATTGAGTTGACAAGAAGAGGTTATATTATTTTGGTTTAGAAATAAAAATATACAACATAACAACATGGGATAAGTGTTGCCGTTTTCTTTTGAATGAAAATATATCTATATATTCAACTGTAAGAACACAAAATTTACTGCTAAAGGAGAGATATAATGAAACAAGGATATTATTTGTAACACCTTAATATGTATATATGTATATGTGACTTATGTATTTTACGTATACTTCGTAAAACTGTAATGGAAGTTCAAGATATTCATATAAATGTAAATAGCAAAAATTTTTGGAGTTGTGATACAAAAAAAAGAAATTTTTTTCAATTTCGGAAAACATTAGCTCTAAAAATTTTCTGAAAACGGTAGCTCCTTTTGGATTATCTTTGCCAACATACAAAATTTGACACTAAATATATTCGAAATTATTTGACAGATTCATTATAGAATTTTGACGTCACAATTTCGAATAAGGTAGTTTGATTATATTGTTGTAATGCAGCTGTCATCTTAAATTTAAACAGTCGTTTAATTCAAAATCAATGAGATTACATTTTTTTTTATTAAATTTTTGAAATAAGTTAAGAAAGAAATGATGAAACAGTTTACTAAGATAAAATGTATCTTTTTATTATTTAAAGCGCATATTTATTTAAACATATATTCATTTATTTTAAAATTACATTCTTTGCAAGTGTATTTGCTATTTATGGCTCCTTTATCTTAAATAAAAAGAAGCATAAGATTTTGTAGATTAACGTCAAAATTAGTATTTTGCACATAATGTTACACACATATAGAAATGGATAATGTCAAAAAAAAAAACACAGCGGTAAAATATGAATTTAGGATAATTTATCGCCAGCGGTTATCTGGCCAGCCCCATTTAAATATGGATATATGTATATGTATTCTAAATGGATTTTGACATTTCGCAATGGAATCATTGTTCTGTTTTCAATTTAAGACTGCTTGGTACTGTTATTTAGATTCCAATGAGCGATACTAATATCCAATGTCAATATTTTACTGGAAAATTTATGTTCCACATATAACTACAATGTGAAATAAAATTTAAAAAGTTATTTAAATCATTCAAGTTGGCGGAAAATGAAAGAAGTCGTAAAATAAAGTGCGTGGAATCGAAATCAATTTCTCGAAACGTGAAACTCTACGAACGGTACGAATGGAATCTAACACTTAGTAAGTTTAAATCTCAAAAATTTAATTTACAAAATTAAATAATCAATTTTTTTTTTTTTAATTTTTATCAATATATTTTTTTATTCATTTATTATATCAGTTTTACAACTTAATATCTAGGTCTTCTTCTTTTTGTTTTTAATATAGCATTTATTATAATATTACCTACGTAATTTGCGAGTTTTTCATATTTTAGTCTCAATCTTTATAGATTAATATATAAGTAGCTCAGAACATAAAAAATTTTAGTTTTGCTTTTAATTTTAGTTAAAAGCTTACATACATACATGAATATTTGTATGTACATATGTATAAAAATCATAATTCATACATATATTACAATTAATCGCTTATATATACATAATATTTAAATGAACTTTATTTCAGATACTTAAGATGTTGATATATGTATCTATATTATACCTTAAAAAATTAAACAGTTTTATATATGTTAACGAGTCCAAAACGGAATAAAAATATTGTTGTTAAGAAAATCTGCCTCTTGTTAAAAGTAAATTTAGATTATAAAACAAAAGCCGAAATAGAACGAGAGAGAGAGAGAGCACGATAAAAAATTAAAAGAGTATTAAAGGCAGTCAAAACTTTTAAGAAACATACATATTTTTTTTAAAAAAATTCCATTGTGCTTATGCATTCATTTTTAAGTAATTTAATTTTTTAATCATTTGATTTGAGCAAATGTTTGTTTTAAATTTTAGGTTTGTTTTTACTATTTAATTTATTTTATACACACATATGCCTATTATGTAGATACTATTAGAGCAATGAAATACATATATATTCAATTACCATTTTTTATCTATGTGAAAACCTATTTCCATTACACTATATTGTCTGTTACACGGACACCATAAAAATCTGTTTGATTCAATTTTTTCTTTAGTAAATCTATTGCGTTAAATTAATTGCAGATAGATATTTGAATCAAAAGCATGAACTCGAAAAAATTTGTCTCATTTTATTTATTTGTACAAACAAGAAATAAAAATTAATGGAAAAAATCACAGAAATTATGGTTATTGAAATATTTTTTCAATGACAAATTATTTATAATTAATTAAATGTAAAAAATGTAGTTTACACAAATTACAATATAAGCAAAATGTTATTAACTATAATATACAAAAATTATAATAAATATTATAGTAAATGATGTTATTTTAAAGGTCTATAAAACCAATTATTATTCATGCAATATGGAATTTAGATACTTATATGAATTACTCAAAAAAAGATGTTCTACACTATAGGATCTTTTTCATATTTCTTTTGTTCTTTTTGTCATCTCTTTGAAATTACATTGAATAAATTCGTACAACAATATAGAATCTATATAATCTTATTTTTATAACATTTATAATAATCAACACAAACTATCCACATTAATTACTATTTTCTTAATTATTTATTTCAATTTCAATTGTTTTCTTTTATAAATATAAATTTCTCCTTTTTGAAATTCATAAAACTTTTCTTAATAAAATTATTTCATTTTAATCTAATACAAGTAACATTAAATTTTTTTAAATTATACATATAGTATAGAGCTTAGGATGTCCATGCCATTATAACTTTTTTGAAAGGTACAAAGAGACCTTGAAGTGGCTCACTAAAAAAAAGAAAAGTAATTAGGAATAGTTAAATAATTTTTAATTTTATAATAACCATTCAAATATTTTTCGCCCCTCAAAAGTCCCATCACAGTCTCCGCATTTACTTTGTAATTGTATTCCAACAAAAAGATCATCAGTTGATATTGATGAAGACATGATATTCTTATCGCTGGATGGAATTGTATTTTTATTGGAAGCATTATTCTCATCAATTGGTTCAGTTTTTGTACTAACTAATGGACCAACGTAACGTACTCGACCGACAACAACCCGGCCATTTTTTGTAATTACTTTTGCTAAATGCCCAGGTTTTAAACATTTTGCTGTTTTTGGCAAAAACGGCAGTGACTGTTTTGACGGAGTATAATCTTAATGATATAGCAAAATAAATATTGGAAAATTAAGATTAAAAAGAAAATTAATTTAATTTACATATTACTTTACCTTTTTGTATATCATTTTCTGACATCCTCCTCAAATTTGGTCGTTTCGGATTAATTATGGTATCATCTTTCATATTATTATTTTCAAGTGATTTTCTAACAAATGCATCAGCTTCTTCTAATAAACTTTCAGTGGAACCACTTGATTCACCATGAATTGTTATAATAGTTCGGCCAGTATAACGACGATTACATAAGCAGTCGTGTCGTAAATCTGGTAATGAGCCTCTAACTTTATTTGCTGGTTCTAAATAAATTTTAATTTTTAATAATTTCTCATTTGTCTTTATGTATTTTTTGTTTATGTGATTTATTTACCCTGAAATGCTACACGCGGTGTATAATGCATACTTTCAGATGTACGTATACCACCAGGAGCAGTACCGCTACCACTGCCGCTACCAATCCTTGTCTGCCGACACACTGCACATCGTACAGATGGCACGCTACGAGAACGATGGTGTTTATCCAAACCACTTGTCCTTGATCCAATTGAATAGCTACGACATGAGTCTAATGAATCTCCACGTTTTCCGCCCCATGATTCACCTGTTTGTATGGTTTGTGTTCCGAAGCTGTTTTCATTAACAGTCCACTGTGATAAACCTGGTGATGTCATGCTTGCACTAGGAGTTATTCTAAAATATAAAAATATATTAAGATTTTATTATAAAAATTAAAACTAGGAACGAAAACTAACCCTTTTAATGCGTAATCTGGTGTCTTCAAAAGATTACCCTTATAATAACCTGACTGCTGATGTTGATGTTGCTTATTTAGTTCATCTTGCCGATTTTCATCTTGGCATAAATGATCAGCTGAACGCGACAATTCTGGTACCATACTTGTAAAATTTATATCACTTAAAAGTATACGTCGAGCTTCTGTTGAACTTCTTTCAGATATTCTAAAAAGCAAATACGTTAAATATTTACAATATAAATTTTATTGTATTATGAATCACATTTTGTATAATTGTATGGATCACATATTATACAAATAAATTTTTGAGTTAAAGAAATTATTTTAAAATGCACAAAATTAATTAATTGCATACCCAGAATGATGTTTTTGACATGGTTTTCTCATAATTGGCACAAATTTTGATGGTAATGTACAAGGTCCACCAATATGATAACGGTTTCCAGCTAAATGACATTCAGATTTCCATAATTCTGGTAATGCGGAAATTTCTGTTTGTGCTGAGCTACTACGCTTAGGTCCACAACTAATTTTATTATCTTGTGATGATAAAATACGATTTGCTATATGACAATTATCTGTATTTCCCGTCCCTATATTACTATTTCCACACTGTTGTAAGCGTCTACTATATCTTGAAGCTAAACGTGATGGTATATGGCGTGTCACAAACGGAGGTTCACGTAATATCATCGGTCTACTGGAAAATATAATAATTTTCAATAAAAAATATTTTATCACAAGAATAATTAATTATTATAAAATGTTCACCTGTAAGCTGGCGGATTTGGACACGTATTTCTTCTTTGATATAATTCAAAATTAGTTTCTTCAGCTATTCCGCATTTTGAAATATCTGTTTCTACTAAAATATTATAATTGGTCCATTTACGATGATTACGTTGCATACCATCGCTGTCATTACTACCATCTTTATTATCAAAGAAATCTAAACTTTCATCACGTCCTATTGTACGTTGTGAATCACGTCTTTGGTCGTCACTGTTATCACGTTCTAAACTAATGGATTTTGTTGTTGGATTAGCAAAATCGAAACTTTCAATACTATCGATACTCTTTTCTTGTGTTAAATTTGCATTAACTTTTGTTGAAAATTCATCAAATGTAGATGAAGTTTGCATTTGGCCTGCATTTGTGTCATCATCTAAAGAAGGTAAGGACGGTGAATCCTGATCTGACGGAAGTGAGGAAAATTTTACTAAAACTGGAGTACCAGAACTTCCGGTAGCTTTCCATGGATCATATTCTGAAAGTGAGATCATTTCTTCCTGAATAGGATCACGATTTTCATCTGATGAAAATATTAATTCAATATCATCACATTCCTCTTTTGGTTCTTGTGGCTCTGTTGATTTATCTTGTTTTTCAGATTTTTCAAAAACTGAATTGTCACCTTCGGAAACGTCTTCTTCTTCCTCCTCTAAATTAAGGTTTTCCTTTGAAGATTGACTTATTATATAGCTACCATCCTTATCTTGTCGAACTGTAAGATTTTCTTCAGTTGAAAAATTGAATTCTTTTCCTGATCTAGAAGTTGAAGGTTCTGCCTGATCTGTATCGTTTTGATCTTGTTCTTGTTGATTATTTTGCTCTTCACATATATCGCTTGCCACTTTGATATTGGACATAACTTTAATTTTAACATCAATTTTTGAAGCCATTTTATCGCAATCTGGTTGATTAGTATCGCTAGAGCGATATTTAGGTGTTGTTATAATTGTTATATCTGCAGGGGATTTGGAACGCCGACCAGTGGATTTGCCTGAACTATCACTTCTTGCTGACGTTGTATATTTCTGTATAGTGTAATTTCGTTTTTGTGGGCTTCTGCAAACAGTTGATGGAGTATCGACGAAATCGCTTGTGTTATCGTATGTTTCAGTGGTAGCCAAATCTGAAACTTTTGTGTTTGAATTTGCTGGTTGTATAGTGTGTTCCGTAGTCTCTTTAAGATTTAAATGAAATTTTGGCTTTTCGAATTTCTCAAAAACTCTTTGCCTTAAATTAAAATTTTTATCTTTACAGATGAATGAAGGTTTTGTATCATAATCTCTTTTTATATTGTTATTTTTTAAATCAAATCGAAGATGTTTAGTTGGTTGTGCTATTTTAGGTATATAAGATTTTCGATTCGGTAACTGTGGAACCTCCTTTTGAGGTTGAGTTTTTTGCTCAATTTGATTATGATTTTGATATTTAATACCTTCTTTTATATCACTTTGCGTAGATATTTGTGATCTTAATCGTTGTATTTCAAATTTAGCTTCTTCGAGTGCTGAACGTAATGATACAACGGTATGATGTAGAGCTCTGACTGTATCTAATGATTGAATTGTTGTTGAAATATTTTCCATGCGACATGCTGTGTGCAAATTTTGTTGAAGTGCGTTATTGTTGGATTCGTGTTGAGTATCACCGTTATCCATCTGTTTTTACTACTACAATCTAACCATTTATTTCCAAAATCTTTCAAAAATTTTACCAAACCAATAGATTGAATAAGTGAATCGTTTGCAAATTTTTCTTTAGCCATGCGGAATTAAATATTTGTTTGCTGAAAATCTAAAACGAAAAAAATAAAATTAAATATTTTTTTTTATTTTGAAAACTATTAAAATTTGTAAATCATGTCATTCATGATATTATCATACATTTTACTTGTACGACAATTAACTTTGTATAAAATTTCGGTTCTAGTTGAATTTAGCTATTACGTATTCCAGATGCAATGATCAGCTGGTATTAGTTTATTTTGAATAGAAATAATAAAAAATTTAATTAATAGATCTATTATGACAGATAAATCAAATATGGGAAGTAAATTCCAGCACTATAAATTTGGTTTGATAAAACAGGTAGCAATTAAAAAGTGTTTGATATAGATTTAATTTTTCTTTCCGCCTCTAGATTTCCGAAATTGTACTATTAAAACTCTGAAATAATTTATGAGATTATTTTGTGATGGATTTGGGTTTAAGAGCTTAAGCAGACATGCAATTTTAGTTTTTACAACTGTTTGATTGCTTTCTTGTATTTTGTTTGGTTTATATTTAACCGCGCATATACGTAACTGTATGATCGAATGCAATTAAGCAATCAAACAGTTTGTAATATTTTATAAACTGATCGTGATTTTTAGTTTACGTAATCGATTTAAATAGACTTAATGTCTGTCTGAGCACTTAATTATCTTGCGTTATACATATATGTGTATATTTATTTCATTATATTTTACAAGATGTAGGAGATTATTTGGTACATTTTTTTGTCTTAAAAACAAACCAACTTTTTTTTGGACCCTATTGATTACACCATTATTTGCCATGCCATTTGTTGATAATATTAATTTCAATATATATTTCGAATATATATTTGTAACGTATGTACATACAAATATGTCGTGTTTGCTACTCTGTAACATTGCTATTTGATATAATAGAAATAAATAATTTAAAATTTTAATTTACTAAAAAATATTAAATTGAAAAGCTTTGGATGATTTTTTAATCTATTGAAATGAGTTTTTCAAATGACTTATGACGTTATCCTATAAAAAAGAAAAACAAAATAACAGTTTTGATAATAATTTTTTTTGTAAATTTGTTTTAAATTTTTGTTAGTCTGAATTTATGAGTTAAAGTGTCAAAGTTAAATGAACGTTGTTGAAAATTACAAAATATTAATAATCGGAGTAAATCTAAGATTATAAGCGAATATATAAAAAAATGTCTTCAACAATTTTGATAAATTATTTGATTTTATTTTGTTTATTATTAAACAATGATTTTATTAATGGTGAAATGAAAATATCGAATGATTTTGCTGATAACAATAAATTTTCTCGTTTAAAAACAAAATTAAGTTCAAATTTAAATATTTTAAAACAAAAACGTCAGGTTTATTTTTATTATGATGATATTTCAGAATCAAGTGAATCGGTAACAAGTGATTACTTTTATGACAATGTAAATAGCTATTCATAACTTTAAAATTACAATAATATTGCAGTATATTAATATATAGTTCAGTAAATACAACTAGTAAGATAAAATGTGCTGCATTAATTTACTGAAATTTTGAAGTTATATAGTATTATTAATATTTAAAATATGATGACATTTTAATATTATTAATTTAATTTTAGTCCGAAGAAACAACAAGTGCAACACCATTATATGCAGAGGCAACAACAATATCAAATTCAATTAAAAAATATAACTTTACAATAGAGCATTATTCAGAAATATTTGAAAGAAATTTTAATTACTCTACTGAATCATTAGATGATTCAAAAGAAAAAAAAATTGATTATGAAAATTTTGAATCTGATTTCAATTCTAGTGTTAGAAATAAATTATCATTAATTATAATATTTTGTAGTGGTCTTGCATATAGTTTAAAATGTTATAATATTTTATAAATTTCAATATTAAGAATTATATATACACATATTTTGAATTAATATTATAATAAAATTTTGGAAATTCGTAATTTTTAAACCAATAATATTACCTTTCAGATTTTAGGGTATGCTTTCAAAAATTTATTTTTGAATCAAAAAACCATTTCAAATCAATCTCATGAACACATACCTTTTTTCTCTGCCTAACTCATTGTGCAGCTTTAAGCAATATCAATTTTAAGAAAACGAAATCCCGATTTCGTAAAGGAAAATTCATTATTAAATTAAAGAGAAAACAATTTGTTTATATTCTGTGAATTTATTTTAAAAAATTAAAGAGAAAGTGATTGACATAAGTTGAGTTTTAAGTTGTTTGACATAACAAAACAAATTTCGAAAGCATTCCCACCTGGAATTCAAAAGTGAAAGTTATAAAATTTCAATTAAAAGGAAAATGTTTTTCTATTTTATGTTGCAGTTAGTGTGTACAATTTCTTTTATTCATTTGGTAAATTTGTACTCGTAGAAGTCAACCTCTTTTCCTTTTTAACCTTCTTAAGTAATTTTTCAATTAGAAATTATCAAATATTTCTTGGATGAATGTGGCTCTTAACTCAGTCGTTTTTTACCTAAAGTAAACACTTTACAAGTAAACAAGAACGAAAAACTATTTTCAAATTTAAAATATAACATTTTTTTATTTCGTTTCCTAAATTATAAGAAATTTATATTATAAATCATAATATTTAATTGAAATTTACATATAAAATACATTTTTCTTTTATTATTTTTTATGAACTAGTTGATGATGATATTTCTGTTGCTGGTTCAGTGTATTTTTACTATAATATTTAAATTTTAATTTATTAAATTGATCAGTTCTTTTATCAACATCATAAATTAATGGTAACAAATCGAATGGATCTTTAATTGATTGCTGTTTTGGTTTCTCTTGATTTTTTTTAATTTTTAATTGATTTTTTAAATCCTTACTAATTGGTAGACAATTTGATGTATCAAATATATTTGATAAAATTAATAAGAAAATTATAAGAAACCTCATTTTTTGCAAATATTTTTGAAGTACAAACAAAAAATTTATGAAGTTTAAAACTTCAAACTGTGTTGAAGACACTAAAATCTTATGATTAAAATAAATTAAAATTTATTTATAAAAAGAGTGCTGTTTTGTAAGCTTTTGTAAGCCTTTGTATAAGTGAATTAAAATTGTAGTTATGTTTGATTATGTGATTATGTTCTAAAGAAAGAATAACAAGTTTCTTTTTATTGATACCTACTTTACTGATGTGGGTATATATGTCAACATACTAAAGTGTTTGTAAATGTGTGTAAACACATTAAATTATTTATTATTGAGTTTTTATTTCTCGTTTTTCATTTGATGATTAAATTTATTTTTGCGAATTCATCATTTTTTTTAATTTGTTCTTTTTTTAATAAGAATATAAAAAACTTATTTAATTTTTTTTAATAAACAATTTAATTTCATTTGATTATTTGTGTATTCGTACATCGCACATATAAAAAAAATGACGCGACAGCACATAATCGACATCACAATGTATAAATTTTCTAAATGATATTTTGATATTCTAATTAGCCTAGAGAAAGGATTGTAGAAGATTATGAAAAATAGTTTTTTTCTAGAACTTTGCACGAAATTTGCAAAGATTATGAAATTCAATAACGTTTGAACCTCATGAGTTCCACTGTTTATTGCTAACGCAAGTGTTCGTCATTTTTTGATTCTTTTTAAAACAAAAAGTAATTATTAAAAATCACTGATTTCCATGATGAAAAGAAAAATAGGTAAGAGAAAAAAGTTACCAATTTTAAAATATCAAAACGGCATGTGAAGTTGTTTTATTTGCACATACCTGTTATTTAAAAAGGGTTCTGTCATTTACAAAGTTTAAATGCTCAGATCCGAGTTAATCAACAACTTGATCAATTCAAAACATAAACTGACTTTAAATACGATTTAAAAATCGAAAAAACCATTTTGAGCTAAAAATCTTGCTAAATGTAGTAAATCGGTATTCGGACACCTTTCAAACACTTAGGAAAACATTTATATTGAAAATATGGCATGTGAAATCTAGTGTGATGACAATACCTCGCATATTATTTGTGCTGCAGTGGGAATATATGGAAGTAATAACGTAGTATTTTAAGATCCGTGTTTATAATAAAGTTAATAAAGTTGTTACATAAATATTAAGAGTCTTATACAAATTTTAAACGTGATTTTATTGAATACAGATATGTTTAGTATGTATGAAATGGTGTAATAGAATCTTATCACTATTAATTACATGTATTTGTTTACAAAAATTATTTTCTTTTATTATTTAGATCAAAATATTTAGATTGAATTAAAGTTCTGAAAATATATAAGCTTTTGAACCAAAAAGCTTGACGTGAGCCGCCGAGGTGTATGTAAATTTTTTAAGAATCTGTTATAAGATCTTTACTATTTTGGTACTTCAGTATTTTAGTTTACTCAACATTTTTGTAAAATATAGAATGTTTTGATATGGTATATAAAACAATAACATGGTTGAGTAATAGAACATTTCAAATAGCATAGTGTTTACAATGTGGGTCGTTGGAATTTTATTCAGAAATTGTAAATTCATTTTAGTGTGAGATAAGCTACCTTTATTGTGATTGCCGCTTTGTGTTTGATCATTTAAATAAAATTCGACTATTTAAAAGTGACAGTAAACGCATCTATTGTAAACGCATCAAGAACGTAATTTTTATGGTGTATTATTTGAGAACACAACTTTGTGTTTTTTTTTTAATTAATGATTTTTTGTTTTTTCTATTTAAAATGGTAAAATGTCATGAATTGTGATAAACTATTGCTAAATTTTCATTAGAAATTTTTATGGTTCTATTTTTTTTTATGAAATGTGATTATATTTTTTTTATTATTTAGTTTTAATTTCTACGGAATTTTATTTGTAAAGAAGTCAAAGTTGAATTTGATAAAGTACTTATATATTTTAAAAAAATAATGAAGCAAATTGTGAAATGAAAAATTAAAAAAAAAATCATTTTAATTAATTTAAAATTATGCAATTGTTTTTTTATGATTTTCGTGAGCTGCACCATTGTCAAGTTTGAAAAAATTGAGCTAATGATTGCCAAATCACACTAAATTCCACTAGCTTCTTGTACCAGATCAGATCCGTTTGGAAAGTCTATTTTTTTTTTTCAAATAATTTTCGGGTAATAGAATATTCTTGAATGTATGTATGTATGTATGAGTATGCAAATACAGATTGTGTACGAAATATATGGTTTGTTTTTTGGTTAAAAGTCAAAGTAAAATTTGATAAGGCATTTTTTTTTTCGCACAAACTACAACTTATGAGCACATACAGGTTGTACTCGATTCAATGCTGAATTTCCGAAATAGGAAATAGCAGAAGGGGTTTTGAGCAATTACAGTAAGGAGCGCAATCAAGTGAGAATTCTCTGGAGTTTCCTCACGTGACAAAGTAGGCTCAAGAAATTAAGTTCTATAATTAAGGGGAGGAGACTCTATGAACCTTTCTAATGAATGTGGAGCGTGGATCCATAAGAGAAGGGACAGCTTGGGTGGACTTTCACTGATGGGCATGTCGTTGTCAGATATTTCCCCGGAAAAGTTATTCTAATTTATTTGAAATATGGGTCTTAGTACGGGTCTAGGTAACACACTGGACACTCATGGGGGAGAGCACAATAGAACCTTTAGATTGCGATGCATCATTGCTCCCATCTGTAATTTAAAAACCAAATATATTATATTATTTTTCGTCGGAAGAGCCGTTGAGTTTCGGGAAACCTTGCATAAAATTATTAAGTAAGACATTATTTAAGATAATGAATCTATTCGAATCTATGCATTTTTTTTGGCTTTCTATAACCTATAAATAATTTTAATTCTTTATTTTAATAGTGAATTCGTTATTCGAAATTAGTTTAAAAATTCGGCTTACACGTAACACATTATAAAAATTATTAGCATAATTTTGTTCTACAACAATTTTTTCCAAATATGTGGTTTACATTTTTTAGTATTTTATTAATTTTCAATTTTTACAATATTAATTGTGATGGAATTGATGCTGATAACGAACCTGAATCAACTACATTAAGTATAATTGATAAAATTAAATTGGTAGCACTTGACGTAGCTGAAATAGTAGATCCTGCGAGGGTAAAAGATGATTCTACTTCGGCGCATAATTCTTATTCGAAAATGAATACTGTTACTGTAGAAAACAAAAAATGATAAGTAGAGTTAGGATTTTTAATCCAAATGGTGTAATGTCTTCTATATAAAAATAAAAATGTAATAAAGAAACAAAACAAAAAAAAAATTGTTTTTTTTTTTTTCATTAAAAAATTTGGACTCAATGCTAATATAATATTATGTGTAACATACATAAAGTATACACATGATGCATTAAAAAAACGCTAATTCTCTTATGTTGATAAAAGGCAACCTGTGAGAACTCTTAGATTTTTTTTCTTTGGAACTTTTTGTTTGATGGTTTTTATGCTATATATTCTTCCTCACTTCCATTTAATTACGTTTAAAAGAAAGTTTTAATGACAAAAATGGTTTTTGTTTCACGCAGTGGTACGTTGGGCAATTAGCTTCAATTTTGCGGTTGAGGTGAAGACGATAAAGTAAATTTTATTCACCTTTTTTATTAAATATTAGTTCCAGAATTCTTTTGCTTATTAACTCTTGCCTTCCAATTCAGTTAAAAATTGCATCGCAAATAAAATCAGTTCAAAACACATTTACAGACGCAACATAACTTCATTTATTATCACTTCTTGTTTTTTACAAGAAGACAATTGTACTGGTGCGAAAAACTAATTTCTACTCACTTTTTCCCAGATTCTGCAGTGCAATTGTTTGATAAGCCATATTTCGTTATTCTAATATAATTTCTGGTGAAAATTTAGGTTATGTTGCCAATAATTTTAAGAAATTTT